AGTGGATGGAATTCATGTACAAGTCGCCAAAATTGAGGATGATCTCAAGGCATGTTCATTTGTTTTGCGTTGATTCACAGACACAGTAGTTTCGTTGATATGAATATGAATTTTAAGAATTCAGCTAAAAGCCTTGCCTTTCCATATCAAATTTGTCAAAATTCTAGACAACTGTGATAATGTTCTCGAGTTATCAAATATAAAGAAAGATATTCCCGTTTTATCTGCTACATGTGAATAGGAGAAATGGGTGCAAACATTAACGTTGCCTAGTCCCCTACACTGTCATTCTACATATTCACAGTAGCCTACAATTATAGTACTATGACAGGATTGTCATATTAATGACCAATAATTAAAATAGTAGTCGATTCCATGCAGCCTCTTGACCAATTATGATTATCCTTTCAGGCGACTTAATTTCCAAGTAGCCATAAAACTTATCTGGGCCTTTTGTTTTAATGGTGGACATCTGTATTTTCTCCCTGGCATCTTAATTTTGATTTCAGTCAAGGGCATCTTTGATAAGATGGAAATTTAAATGAGGTTTATTATAAGCTGCTTTACTATACTTTTTAAGAGCCTTTGATCTCATGATATTTGAATTAGTCCATGCAGTTATCTTATAGAATGAGCCATATTCCATGGAGGCATAATATGGTTCTTGAATTTATCGTTCAGTTTTTACTTTTTGAGTCTTACTCCTAGAATAATTTCCATGTGAGCCTTAAGTGTTTCCATATGGACTCCTGCTCAATTATGAAAATGTACTTCTTTTATTTTATAATGCTCATAAATCTGTTTGTTCTGATTTTTCATAACTTAAGTTGCCAGCAGTGTTTTTTAACACTTTTCCCAGATTTTACGGGATTGGGTAGGATGATCTTTGTCAAGCAACCGTGGTTAATGGTTATGTACTGTTGCATAAAGAAAAATAATTTACTAATACCTATTTATTCAAAATAACACATGACGTAGTTTTAGAAGTTCAGAACTAGCAAACTGTTCAGTGCTCATTGAATAAAATTCAGATCTATTCATTTCGAAAATTTTGCACAACAAAATTATTGTCATCAATAGTACCTAGTGCAGTCTTGATGAGCTGGGTTGTTATATAGAAATAGAAGTAAGGACAATATAAGAATGATATGTAAGGCCTTGCATCCATCATTCAGATATTATATATTTATATCCCTCAGAATTTGAAGCTTGAGTAGTTATTGTAGAGACTAGCTTCAACTGTAAAATTTTAAGCCTTGGTTTGGATTGTACAAACTTGTTTGAAATAACTAGCTGAAATGTTTTAAGGTCCTCTTTTACCTTTTGGTGACTGATCTTTGTTGACTTATTGAAAATGAAAGCTCGTTGAGTTTAAAAAATTGTCCTTTTACGAGTATGATGCCTTACTAAGACGACCCGAATCCTTGACTATTCGAGAGTCACTAAATAAAATTCAATTTTTTTATAGGGACTTAAATAGTAACAAGAAACAATTTTACGCATTAAGTAAATAAAAAGTGGTTTCAACTTCAATAATTAATCGCGAAATCTTAATATTAAAGAATAATGCATTGACATAAACATAGCCTAAATAATGTCTTAG